TTCAAACGGCTGAAATTGAATGTTATGAATGTTTCCATATTTTTGTGGAAATTCAAGCGTAAATGATTAAATTGTGCTACTTTTGGCGCTAAGTAGGGTCCCATTTATTTAATGGCGTCCTATTAGGTATAGGATTTCGTTGATGACTTTTTTTAACAACGTTATAAATTTATTTCACCGTTTTTTTTACGGGCCTTACCCATAAAGTATTTAACAAGACTGCGCTGTATGTATATATATTCGTCTGTCATATATATATTATCATGTTTTTCATTTCCACGTAGCTATATGAATCCCTATGAATTTCGTTACCAACGTACACAAAAACAAATCAATCTGATCAGAAATCTAATTATAATTTATGAACGATTACATAAATATTTATTTATTTTTATTATCTTTTATATATAGAATATTGGCTGGGATCCAAGCGAGCACATCTGGGATCAATTGAAACAATATATATGTATAGATAATATATAAACGAAACCGACTGATTGACACAGGTTATATAACATATATCATCGATTTTTATGACTACAATAAATCACGATGACTTTTATGTGGAGCTGATATTGATTTTTATTATGACATGATATCATAGCTGTTTTCGTTGGAGGTAAAAAAATAGTCTCATAATTTTTTCGCCAGTTAGTATGAGTATTCAAATCTGATAAATTTCGTTCAAATCTGTTCAGTAGTTTTTGCGTGGAAGAGTTACAATAACAAACCAACATCCATACGTTCTTATTATCGTTTACATTTATAATATTTCCATTGATGTGTTTAAATGTGAGAGAGCCATGCTTCGGCACGAATGGGCCGGCCAATAGTCGACCGAAGTACCACAGCCTCACAAGAAAATCGACGTGAAACAACGCTTGCTTTTTATGTCCTGTTCTCCCAAATCCCTGAATCCCCAAGAATCCTAATTCCTAATCCCCAAAGGCTGATTACGCACTTGTAACGTCACTGGTGTTCCAGGTGTCCATGTGCGGCGCCGATTGCTTACCATCAGGTGATTCGTACGCTCGTTCACCGAATTATCACATAAAAAAATTGATTACGTATTGTGACTGAAAACATCGATATACTATTTGAAGCAGTCACATTTATTTTCAAAGTGTTGTTGACTCATTACGAGTATAAACACCAAACACCACCTTGATCCAATTGCGCATCAAGTAAATAGGACATAAAACTCAAAGACATGCATTTGCAACACAAGAAACTAAGTTCTCTTCAAATATAAAACGTTTGAACAACTCGTTATACTGACATTTACCTTTCAATATATATGAAACAGACCTATATATGTTATATATATATATATAGAACTTGGGTAATCAAAGAAAAAATTGCGCGAGGAGAATTAAGCAAACAAGTCGACATAATTGAATCGCCTGTGTCACGTTATTTACTTAAGCACATGTTTCGTTTAAACATTCATCCTTCGTTCATTTGTTAAGGCAAATTGCAGATGCATTGTTAATGTTAAATTTAAGACAGTCTTTATTTAAGTAAAATTTGGCTTTCAATTATAATTTTATTGGGGAATGGTAGGAGTCAGTCATAATACCATTGCTTAATTAACTAAAAAACGCGGGTTACTCACATGAGGAAAGGTCGCGGCGATGTCGCACGCTGCTTATGAGGAAGAACTCTTATGTGGTTCGAAACTAGTAGAGCTTTTCTCCGTATATTCATAACATTATATAATTTAGTATATCTCACGATAGGTATTATTAAAATATCATAGCTACTTCTGGAAAAAGTATTTTTTTTAGTTATGTTATGAATCGTAGTTTATCGCCTGCGTGGTCATATAAAAACAAGCAGCATAGATAAAATAAATAAAAAGTACTTTATTCTGGAATCAATATATAAATTAATAATATACCTAATATTACTTCTATTCCACGAATACTTTATAATATTTTATTTGATACCCTCATTTCTACTCACTAACCGAAATCTCAAAAAGGAGGAGGTTTTCATTTATTCTGTATGTTTTTTCCAATACCGCATTATTTTCAGCACGAATGGGCCGGTTCGACCGGAGGAGAGACCACGGCCTCACAGAAAACCGACGTGAAGCAACGCGTACATTTTGTTTCGTCGTGTGAGTGAGGTTACCGGAGGCTCAATTACCCCCCATTCCTTCCCCTATCTCCTCAATCCCTAAATCCCCAACGATCCTCAAACTTCTAATCCCCAAAAGGCCGGTAACACACTTGTAACGCCTCTAGTGTTCCAGGTGTCCATGGGCGACGCCGATTGCTTACCATCAAGCGATCCGTCTGCTCGTTTACAATATATTGCCATGAAAAAAAAATATCCGACTCAATTAAAGTTCATCGAACTTTATTATACCTCTTCGTAGTATTCGAGAGTCGAAGTAACTAAGGTAGCTAATTCCGTTTAATTCTCGGTATAATTTACTTTTTCCAAGTAATGTCAAAAACCTAATTACGAGCGAGGTCTTATATTTTTATACTGACAAATATCTACTTCATTAAAAACTTCCTTTTCATCTTTGCAAAGTTTTGATGATATATAGGTGTTTATAAATGGCTGTCATATTTTTTTTCCAATCAAAAATATTTTCTATCTAATATGGCATAACTATGAATCATATTTATTATACACCTTAATAAATACCTTTAGGTATAAAAACCAATGCTACAATCTCTCTTTACCAGACAAAGGTAGGTACTGATAAATAATACTTTTTTTACTCAACTGCTCAATAATTCTCACAGTTATCATATCATCAAGAACCCATTTTTTCTAGCTGTGCAAATTATACTAATTTTTTATTCCGTTTAAATTGTCAAAACGGCAATATTCATTTCATTTTACAAATAAAAAATAACATCTTCCAATTTCAAAATCTATTCGATTCAAACATTCAAACAAAAAGGAACACGGTTTATCTTCGGATCTCCAAGGAGGATGATAATGACAGAAACGATTTATTGGGCTTTCATAGATGTCACGATTATTTAAATAAAGAAGACTAATGGCCATATCTTCAGACAGATAATTATGAATTGTCTGAACATTTTTCAGAGACATTAAGAACAAATTTTTATCATTTTATTTTCTGCACATAGAAATTTTCTCATAAAAAGTTCAAAAGGGATTGAATTATTGACTTTATAGATAGTGTAGGCAGTGCCCACGTTGACATAAATATAAAATTTTTCAATTTTAAAATTATCAATGACAGCTATAGAAACATAGACAGCGTTTTAGTTGAGATTTATACATTACTAGCGGACCCGACAGACGTTGTCCTGTAATAATAGGTATAGATAAATAACCTAGAAACCGACTGCAGCGCCATCTGCCGGGCTGATTAGTGAACCATTCCTCTTGAACACACAAAAAAATTCATCAAAATGGGTCCAGTCGTTTGAGAGAAGTTCAGTGACATATACACTCACAGAAGAATTATATATAAAGATTTAAAAGGGACAAAACATATAACTATATAAAATTGATTTATCTTCATGAAATTATAAACACAGTGCTCCGTAAACATAGGGAACCTACATAATTCGTTATGTCTATTTCTATTTTTAAAGAGCTTCAAAAAAGAAGGACGCCGTAATATTCATTATCATGTTCTTATACATCAAAGCCAAGAAAACAAACGGGATTTCTAAATCAAAATTCAAATAAAATCAAACGATGATTGCGAATGCATTTGTTTTTTATTACCATAACTGATTCTATATGAATTTCAAAGTAGGTAATATTTTGACGATGTCGTTGATAAAATCGTCATGGACTATGCCATAGAAAACAAAATGTTCATTTTAATTGAAATAACCGATAATGCTGTTGTAACTGCTATGGTATTGCATGTCCATGTATGTATGATGCTATTTACTTATCTATCATTCATCATCACCATCATCAACAGCCTCTAAGTGCCCACTGATGAGCAAAGCCTCTTCTCACACGGAGAAGGTTTGAGCATTAATCACCACGCTTGCTCAATGCCAGGTTACCTCACGATGTTTTTTTTCACCGTCTGTCAATGGTGTCTAGATAATCTTAGAAAGTATATATAACTCGGAAAAAGTCACATTGGTACTTGCCGTTGGTAGGTTTCGAACCCATGCATGAGAAGCGAACATCTTAACCTCCAGGCCACCACGACTGCTTATCATTAGGTCATCCTTTTCCCATAAGAATAGGTACCAAGTTTGCTTCTCATGTTTGGCAACCTTTATATTACTTGGCTATCTCACTATTCTTATTTTAGCACTGAAAACTATAGCATAATAATATACGAACTTATTACACAACCAAGTGGGTGTTTTGTTTATATTATCCGGAGATTCATCTTATAGTGACTTCACGGTTATAGATTTTACAGACATATTTATGGTAGAACCCATTTGAGGCTCTCCGTTTTATAGGTTCCACTTAACCGTTCCAATTTTATAGACACAAGTATTTTACAACCAATCAAAATACTTACGGAGTGTGAAATATTATCTCAGGGAATTTAAGACATAAAATACGCTCCGATCTAGTGTTGGCGATTTTATGAACTATAACTCCGTGTAAACCTTGGAAGCTCTTTTTCGAAGACAATTTTTTTATATCTGGAAACTTTTCGTAATCCTTAAATTTACTTAGCTAGTTCAACCATTCTTCTAACTTAGGATAATATTTATACAAATTAATGCGTTCGTAAATAACATTTTCAATACCATTACCAAAGATTTCGATTACTGTCTAGAAACTTTCGCCATTACAGATATAATAAATATTTTTCTCTTGTTTCAGATTTCAACCATCAATCAAGAATGATCGACCAGATATAGAAAACAATGATCAATTATCAACAACCATTGATTAATTACAAACATAGTAAAGTAACGGTCAATTTCCGTGTTCAACAGTATGAGAAAAACTGAGCTTCACATAGACACTGAAAACATAATAAGAGATACCAAATATGATAGCAAAACCAAACCTAAATGGTTTATGATGACAATTTAGGACAAGAAGGAATTATGCCGACCGACCTATGGACAACCGATAATCCAGCCGAGAATGTTACATTCAGCGCAATCGACGATGAATTCCAAAACAATACAACGACTGACCCGATTGAAGACAAAGCGATTCAAGCAGCTTTCTGTACAGCATACACCATTATTTTCGTAGTAGGAATCTTTGGGAACGCGCTAGTATGTTACGCGGTGATCAGGAACAGAGCTATGCAAACCGTCACTAATCTCTTCATCACGAACCTCGCACTGTCCGACATATTACTCTGCGTATTTGCAGTACCATTTACACCACTTTACACTTTCCTCGGTAGATGGGTATTCGGTGGACCTCTGTGCCATATTATGCCTTATGCACAAGGATGCAGCGTCTATATTTCAACATTAACTTTAACTTCAATAGCTATAGATAGATTCTTCGTCATCATATATCCTTTCAAACCTCGCATGAAGATCCAAACCTGTATTTGTTTGATTGTGTTCATCTGGGTGTTCTCTCTGTCTGTGACCTTCCCTTATGGATATTACATGGCCCTCCAAGATGTGTACTGCGCAGAAAAATGGCCGTCAGATCAAATCCGCAAGGCCTTTGGCGCAGTCACTACAATAATGCAGTTTGTAGTCCCCTTCATTGTTATGGCGTTTTGCTATACATGTGTTAGTATAAAATTGAATGATAGACTAAAGTCAAGACCTGGGAGTAAGAATAGTAAGAAGGAAGACGCAGAAAGAGAAAGAAAGAGACGAACAAACAGAATGTTGATAGCGATGGTGGCCATTTTCGGGTTGTCGTGGCTGCCGCTGAACCTAATTAATATAAGTAGTGACTTTTATTCATTGGCAGAAGACTGGAGGTATTACATGGTGTTATTTTTCGTTGCGCACTTCATAGCCATGTCTTCCACTTGTTACAACCCGTTCCTCTACGCGTGGTTGAACGAGAACTTCAGAAAGGAGTTCATGCAGATACTGCCGTGTTTAGGAGCATTGGTCACTAAGAGGGCTAAGAGGAAATTCAACCAATCAGAGAGGACAGGTATGTTTCGCTCAGAGAAAACTTGTAATGGTAACGATACCGTGCAAGAATCACTCTTAACTTCCACGGTTAGTAAGATCCCCTCAGTTAGATATAAAATAGAATTCAATGATAAATTAAAGGTGTATGAAGATGATGGGGTAGAGAATATAAGTCCAGATGAGAAGCCAGAGGACAACCCGAGTCCTAACGAAGACTGTGTTAATATGTATATGTTTGTAGATAAAACTGTAAATACTTCGGATAAGGAACCTATCGTGTCTGCGCTGTAAATATAGTGGTAAGTTGAAACGTCATTTAGATATGCAATGCTTCAAATTATCCTCGAACGATAACAATAAATTAGTATTCAAATCTATCTGCTTCTCTCTATCATCAAATTGGACATTTACATTAACCTGGTAAATGAATGCCTAGCAAGCTGTAAAATTACACTCCAAATGAATTATCTTAATTGAAATTCTAAACAAATTCATTAATTGCAATGTTCACAGTAACTTGAACATAAATAAACGATGACAAACAAAACCCATTAAGTCTGAAATCACATTATTGTTCGTAGCGTTTTATTGTTATTTAGCTGCGACCTTCAGAACAAAACACATTGACAATAGATAAAAATTGCTATAAAGTAAATACAGTATGTATGATAACAATTTATTTATAGACTAGATACAACTAAGTTTTCCTTTAAAATAACTGAAACAAATAAACATAAAAAGAGTTTCCACTGAACTGATAACCTTTCCTTTTGAACTTTAATTTAGCAATACTACTGTTGCACAAAGTAGAACTAATATTAAAAAGAGCTCTTCTATTTTAGAATGGACTTTATCGTCGTTGTTATACACATTTAGAGCATAGAATTCAATTGAACATGTTGGCGAAATTGTTTTCCATGTTACTGCATTTTGTGTTTCCATATTTTGTTATTGTGTCTGGTACTATAGTCACTTGCACTTGATAATAGAATTGTTATACTTTGCAAACAATGAAATGTATTTCAAAACCGTTTTAGATATAAATTGAATCTACTTCTTTCTTCTGAAAACTGTCGCTTTCTTTAAACATAATTATGTAATATTTTCTTTACTTACTTAAGTATATAATGCTTCTTTTTGCTAGATTTTAAATAAATACTTTTCTCACAGTCGCTTATTGTTTTTGTGTAAATACACAAAATTATTTTATATATTTTTCATACACATACGCAAAACAGGACTTGGTCTTGTTATGTTGTCGAATTTTTATATTACTACTTAGATTGGCAGAATTATTATGACAATCACAAAATTACAACCATTGAAATGATTTCGTAACAAAGTTATATTAGCAAAAAAGAAATGGATACAGGAAAGTCGTACTTCATAATATCCATTTTTCTGTTCTAGTGAAAATTGAGAACGAGAACTGAAAAATTATTAGATGGTTTTACAATATTATTAGTACTTTACCATTCATGGGACCAAAGGATCCCAATCATTTGGGAGGCGTACGAGGGCCCGAAGTCAACTGCGCAGAGGTCCTTTAGAAAACTTTAATCTAAATGTAATAGACACACAAACTTACGACTATCCCTGTATGCACTATGGAAATGCACTCAAGGACTATCCCCGGTTAGTGTAGAACTATTGTAGATAGTGGACAAAAAGGTAAGGCTATGAATGGGTTGCTGTGAATCTGTAACCCATCTATAGATTTAGTACTATTTTTATACAGTAACAAATATTTATATTTATCGTTGCCAACCGCACTTTACTTATAGCAACGACTAATTGTGATGTTACATGACAGCTGCCAATTTAGAGAGATTTCTTACGTCAAATGTTAAGGAAAGGGAAAATGTGATTGGTCGATACTTTTCTATTTCGCTTAGCGTTGTTACGTGAGTTTTCTATATTATCTTGTGTGTGGTAAAGTTTATTGTGATATAGATATTGTATAGTAATAGTATATGATATTATGCTTATTAAATTCAAGTGACTTTGAGCCTTAAGTATTAGAAATCAGACAGTTGAATTTTGTATTTACGACTTTGGATAAAATTATATTTAACTGTACTGACTATTAAAACTAAATAGTACACAAATACATATACATACATACTTAACCTCACGCCTGTCTCCCATGGGGGAAGGCAGAGACTGTGTGTATGGAACGCGAATTGCAATGATTCTTACATACCTCTTTCGCTTCCTCAGCAGTCAATAATGATTTTATAGTACTTAAAATGTTGGCTCCATACCCTATAACAATAATAAAAGAATTTACTAAGGTAGCAAGCAAGAAGGAGCATGTACGTCAGTTAATCATCAGTCAGTCATCAGTCTTTTCATGCATTTTCGTCGGTTAAAGGAACTTTTAATTTGGCCTTTCAGTAATAATATATATCGCTTAATATAATGATCACGATGTATGATTCAACAAAATACAATGAATTGTTAAAGCATGCATGAAAAGATTGATGAAGCGAAAGAGGTATGTAGGAATCGTAGTCATTGGAGTTCCATAGTCTCTGCCTACCCCCATGGCACCATGTTATGAAGGCAGAGTACTCCTGTCACCACCCCTGCTGTTCCTGCGAATATCATACGAATCAACTAACCAATGCATAGAGATGTCGGAGTCGCGGAGAACCTAACGGGTAACCGGGGCTCCGGCTCGACGTGCAGGAGAAGGAACGGGGTGGTGTTTAGTCAGTAAGAGTCTGACACTCCCTTCCGCCTCACCCAGGCGGGAGCAGTCATTCGATGATTTTCCCCCCTTAAAAAAAAAAAAAAAAAAAAAAACCCCATGGCACACATGGCATGGAGACAGGCGTGAAGTTATGTATATATGTTAAAGGTACATTTTTTTTCGTAAATTGGTTTAAAAATGGCTGTAATATACCCAACACATACCCTAACATCTTACTACTATTTCAAAGAATTCAATAACAGCTATAAAAATTCACATACCAAACTGAGTACATTCCCGATTTAAGCTATAAAAACTATTTTGAAATTCGAATTTATATTCGAATTTCAAAATAGTTTTATAAATCTGAATTCTGATTCACAGTAGAATAAAAAAACATGACTAATCAAATAAAACTGTATCGATTTGATACCTACGGAAACTATCAGACAAGCAAAGAACATTTATTGAGTAGTAAAATCGATTTTTATTTACGATTCGTTTATTTTCGTGGCTTTTTTTACGATTTTCTTTAAACAATACGAGTTTTAAATAAAGATATTCGTTTCCTATATACGTCACTACTACGGTAGTAAATGTATATAGATGTTCGATTAAACATGTCAGTTTGTTTGTGCAACCGCCAATTCGATACGTTATCTCGATTCTATTACGAAATCAAATAGTTTTATGTTAATTTAATTCATTGAACTGGTAGTAATGTTATTTACGAATAAACATTGGTGAATATTGTTATTAATTAACAAATATTCAATTTGCGGGTAACACAAATGAGTAAATATTTACATTGAATGGTAACTTTATGCGATGACATTATCTTCAATAATGCAATAATTGTAATAAAAGAATCAATATTATAGGTCATCTTTAAAATGTATTTAAGTAAAATTGCTGTAGCTTTAATTGAGTACTTGCCAACTAGTCAAATTCAATACTTTTTTCGAGCTGTCAATAACGACGTTTTTCTATGAATTTTGTACGAGATAGTGTATTGTGACGTCACGTTTTTTAAGCGTCAAACAGCATACTTATTTGTTGAAAATTTGCTGGAAAAATATTAAAATTAAGTTGGTAAAAAAATCAATAAATGAAAATGTGATTATTTTTTAACATCCTATTGTACTGAACAGTCGAAATAATTTATTTTTGATCAAGGAAAGTACCCGATTGTACATACTTATTTATGTAGGTATATCACGCGAATACAATGAATCATAAAGACCTCAATTTTTTACACTCTTCTTTCACTTATTCCTCACTCATCAATATCTTCTTGCACGCATGATTGACAGCACTTAAAATACAAACACGAGGTGACGTAAAGACCTATACAAAGGCAGATAAATACGAATGTATAAATATTATCTTTAAAAATTTATGTAAAAAAAAATCTTTTCTTGCTTTTATTTCATGCCTTTCTTGAAATATTATGACATGTATTCCAAATAAAATTAAACAAACCATCAAGCCGTGAGGTTCTAAGGCTAAACTATGAGTATTCCCTATATAAAAACTGATATCATAATCTCCATACTTTGCAAAAGGATAAGAAATCGCTGTAAAAAAATGCAAGCTACAATAAAGATACGCATAATAAAGATATACATAATAAAATCACACTAATATTATACCTACATGTGAAAGTTTATTTGTTTGAATGTGTCGTTGTTTGTCCGTCAATCACGCTGACACTACGGAACGGATTTTGGTGAAATTTTGTATAGACAGGCAACATATGAAATGGCTGACTAAGGTGTTAGGATAGGTCTTTGTATCCTGATTATATGCTATGATCATAAAACAAGAATACTAAAAGGTTTTTTTTTTTTTAAACATTGCCCCACACTGTTTTGTCCTGTGTCGTGGGTGCGTTTACAAACATACAATTTCACATACACACACACACCCAGATCCGAAACAACAATTTATGGATCACACAAAGTGTTGTTCCGTGCGGGAATCGAACCCGCGACACGTTGCACGGCAGCCGGTTGCCCAGCCACCGCACCAACCGTGCAGTCAAAGTTTGAAAGCTGGTGACAAATGCGTCTTTGCCATTACCACCACACGGCAATATTTTCTACACAGAACTCTTTATCAGTGCCTCCGTTCTTTTAACACGAAGTCCATTTACTCGAAAGTCGAAACTTAATTTACATATGGGTTGTGTGGAGTATTGGCTTAAGTCGTCACTCGTGTGTGCATGAAGGAGGTAACGCAATAATGGCTGCCTGTCGCAAACTCATTGGGGCGCACTCTTTGCTGTACAGTCGGCTAAAATAGGAAGTAATTGGGTTTGAATTTGTTGTTCGTTGTAGTTCGTTTGGGTTTGTTGAATGCAACGTAAGTAGATTGATTGCGAATATGCAGCGTCGTTGGTGGGGGTTGACATCATGGTATCTTAACTTTATTGGATCGGATAAATAACATAACATAACATTACGCCTTTTATCCCCGTAGGGGTAGGCAGAGGTGCACATTACAGCACTTAATACCACTGTACAATGTAACACCCACTTTTCACTATTTATGTTATGAGTCCCATGTAATAGGGGTGAGCCTATTGCCATATACC